GGGAACAGTTTGGTCTTGGCGGGGGGTTTTTCGTCTCTGTGAGCAGTTCTAATATTTGCAGTGACAATAAGCACCAACACTGTGTGACACCTGAGAGCAGACAGATTGATTTACAGGTTCGTTTCATTGTCTTCAAGACCCTTAATCTTATTAGTGCATGGTCTTTATATACTTTTCTAGTTATCCAGCCCAGACAACTGCAAAATGTTATTGTCATTTTCAACTTTCTTGTTTTTCCCTACATTTCCGTCGCCTCCATCCGGTCATTGACTTTGTTTACATTAATTTCACCTCTAAAAAATGTGTTGCTTTGTAAATTGCAACTGAGTTGAAGCATTTGTGTTTGGAAATGGGGTTCATGGCTGCGTAAGATGCAGAATGAACAGCAAGTCCTTATTTACATGTATTTACATTTACATGAATTCATTCTTGTTGTTTTACAAAGAAAAACATTTTCCCCACGTACAGACACACAGAGCAATCTGGATTTGGTGTCTTTCCTCAAAGACACTTTAACATGTGGGCAGAAGTAATCAGGAATCTACCAACACTATGATTATCAGCCATTATGCACGAAAAAACTAAACTCAGGAAATTAGGAATGAAAAAAGAAAGGCATTTAATTGGTTGGGGGAGGTTTATAAAAAATATTTTTGTGATTAACTTGTTTGTTGTCTGATACATCCCCTTTCTGCTGTTGTCTCCTCTACATTCCATTGTTTATTTGTAGGAATTTTGCCCCATCTGGCAATTTGACCTGACGCTGACCTTGATAACTGGATCACATCCCTAAAGTAAATAACTAAAGTAGCCACAAGGGTTATTCAGACATTTGTTTGCTTGAGTCTTTGCGGACAGAGCGGAATGAGCCTACAGAACCATGAGGCCTTTATTGGGACCCTCTACGTCCAAGCCTCAGTGTGTGAGATAACCCTGTGACAGGAGGTACAGAAAAACAGCAGAAGCAAATAAGAAACATTAAAGGAATTGAACGGTGACAGAAAGAAGGAGAAGAGAAATTTGAGAGCTGGCTGGCTGACCGCTAACACTCTGAGTCAGTGATTGAGGAGAAGGCAGTATTTTACTCTCTCTCCGAGCTGTTGAAAGAACACACCAGATAGGAGAAAGTTATATAAATGGAAGAAAGAGTGCATCTCACTATCTCCATCATGACACTCCTCTCCCTATCGCTCTGACTCGCTGCCTTGTTCTCTCTCTCTGAGATTTGACAGCCGGGTGATGAATTACTAGTCATGGTTCTACAGTAGACTGATGACTGAGGGAGTGGAGATCTGTGCTGCAGCAGCGGTGGGCTTCACTATCTGCCCCTGAGAGCTAAAGGAGTCAAATGTGAGGCAAAGGGCCAAGAGGAGTTGTGTTTTTTTGCTCCACATCTGTTGCACTTCGGACAGATGTTATACGGTGACCTTTTTTGTTCTACTTTCACAGTCCTGGGTTCGTCCATAACTTAGTTTCTGTAAACAGGGTGGCAACGTTTCTTCTAGGCTCAAGTCAAATCTCAGTATTTGTTGTAGGTGGTGTTACAAGATAATCTCTTCACTTGTGATGTTATTGATTATTCCGCTTTTGATTTTCACCACTGCTGAGGAGTCGATGTTTTCACCCCCGTCTGTAGCTGTGTCTCATTTCAGCGGCTGCATCCTTCTGATGACCTGGTCCACACAGCCGCATCGGCCGAACCCAAATGAGACGGCCTGGTCTTCCTATTGAGTCACCAGCTTGTGTCACCCTCACAGCTGTCGCTTAGCAACAAAACTACGGATGAAAATATTATTCGTTGGACTAGAAACGTAGAAAATGTTTTTTAACATGTGTTCCATTAGCTGTTCTGTTGAGAACTTACATTTGAAAATATATTCTTCTGTTTTTGCCTCAGTTTGCTTCAGTCACCGAAGCGCAATGAATCATGGGATACGTAGGGCCCGAAAGGATCCGCCCAGTGGAGCCTCCCCACATCAGTAGTCAGATCCAGGAACTTTTTTCCCTTTCTTTAACATGGCAAGATGTGGCAGAATTGACCTGTTCATAGATTTCCAAGGGAATAACTTTGACACAGAAGATCAGGCATGTTTTGTGGACTGGTGCAGCTTGTTTGGATTTAAGAGAACTGTTGGGCGCTGCCATTTCGGTTTTGACTTGCGTTTGAGCCTTTGTGCAAATGACTCGTTAGACTTTAATTTCCTCGGGGACTCTGCTGAGAAGGGGAAATATCTGATGAATGCCAACGTTGACACCACTCGACACCGATTTGTAATAACATTGTTGTCGTGTTGTGATATGTTGGTCAATGACAGAAAAAACTGCTTTTAACTCAGTAAGTCTTTATCGCCCCATGCTGACAGCTTCATGACGAGCAGTCGTTTAAACACAGGGAGCAGCAGGATATGGAATTGGGACTGTGCACAAGAGAAAAAAAAAAAAAAAAAAA